AGGTCGGGGGCTGGGACTCGCTCTTGGCTGTATCCCTCACGGTGCTGCTTGTTCTGTCTCTTAGTGTGCTTCCCAGACAAAGGGCTACATGCTGCGGGAGAGGGCCACTGCCGTGGACCACAGCGCGCACATAAAGGTAAGCGGTTGTGGTGCACCAATAGGGAAAGGACCGGTCCCTGCCAGAACTGGCCCAGTTGGAGGCGAGTGCAGAAGGCATCTATGGCTGCCCCCACTTCTCTGCAGATGCCAGGGGCAGCTGCAGCCGGGCACAGACCCTGCAGCCATTGGCGGTAGCCACGGAGCTGGACAACTGCATTGTTGTTGGTGCCAAGCGGGTGGCGGGGGCAGGATCGGGATTATACGGCCTGGGCTCCTTTTCTCCATGCTTGCCTTCTCTGCGCCAGGAGATGCTGGATCCGTGGCGGAGCCTCGACCCTTTCAGCGACTCTGAGGACAAGCCCTTTAAAAAAGGTGAGGCGGGGGTAGCTGCCTCTGGGCTTTAGTCTGTGCTTGGCTGTGGCTCCATCCAGGTCAGCCTGGCCCTGGCCTTGCTCCACGGAAGCAGGAAGGGGAGGCAGCAGCTGCCTGGTGCAGCCCTCTCCTCTGCCCATGGCTTATCTCGCCCCCTTCTCCCCCGACTCCAGGGAGACCCTTCTCAGTGCCGCGTGGCCTGGAGGACCAGCCTGGCAGCAAGCGGAAGAGGCGGTTCAGCAAGCTGCAGGACTTTATGAAGTGGTTCACAGCCACCCGTGAGTACCGCGCTCCAGTTCTCCAGCCCCTAGACCCCTGCATCTTCCACCAGCCTCCTGGTGACCCAATTTGGCAGCAGCTGCAAAGGGGGCGCGATGACGGAGCTGTCCTCCGGCCAGGTCTAACTGCAGCTGTGTTTGGCCTCTCTAGAGCACAATGGAGCTGACAGCAGAAGGACCAGGAGGAAAGGGCCCACGTTTGCTGGTGAGTGGCCTGGGTGTACTTGGCCCCTGCCCACTAACATCCCATCCTCCAGCAAACCTCTGCCAAAGCAGCTCTCGCATGGGGGCGCTGGGGCCCATGCAGCTGCCTGCTGCAAGGGTGTTCTGGCAGGCCTAGCTACTACCCGTGGTGTCTGCCCTGGGCTGGGGCTCCCCTTCCACCTGGGGTGAGGATGGAGCCTGTGCGGCCTGTGAGACTGCAGCCAACCTGGGGTGTTTCCTGGGGTCTGTGGGAGCAGCAGGGGTTCTGGTTGGGCTGGGGCTCTGTCTCCCTCCCAGCCAGGGCAACAGCCAAGCTTCTGCCGTGTCTTGTGCAGATCTGGAGGTTATGTACTGGAGGCAGCTGCGGGAGCGGATGAACACGCAGAGGAAGCTGCAGAGGAGGATGGTAAGGGGGGAGCTGCATAGGGCAGGGGCTCCAGTCCCCGGCCCCTCTGGGCCTGGGCATGTGGGGCAGAGAGGGGAGGCTGTGCTGCAGCCAGGGGCTTTCCCAGGGGAGCTCTCCAGGGGCAGGGCCCAGCGACCACCAAGGCTGAGCAGCCAGGTTGGTGGTGATGCCCGTGCCTCTTGCTCGCCCGCCTGTCAGGGGCTGCAGCTGCTGAACCGGCTGCCAGAGGATCAGGCCAACGAGCCTGAGGAGGAGCTGCCTGCTGTGGAGGGGGAGCGGGAGGACAACTACCTGGACCACGATGACGGTGAGGCAGGTGCGGTCGCACCCAGCGGGGGCTGCTGGGCATGCAGGGAATCGACCCAGCACTGGGGTTTTGCGAGTGGCCCCGGCTCTGCCAGCGCTAGGTTGGAGCACAGACACCTCCTGTGCTGGCTGTTCGCAGCCCTGTCGCATGGGGCCAAGCTGAGCTGGTGAGGAGGCTTTGGGTTGAAACAAGCCCAGGCTTTTCTGAACCAACTGCTCTGGACCAGCTTCTGCGGAGGGGGCTGGGCCCAGGCAGGCTCTAGGGTCCTGAGTCCTTGCCCTGGGCTGCCGGCTGGGGCCAGACAAGTATGATGGCCGTGCAAGGGCCCTGACCTGGGTTCTCTCTCCTGCAGATGACTTCCTGGAGCCTGAGAACATCCCGCTGGAGCCCCTCATGGAGCTGGCCGAGGGTGTGCCAGGTAACATACCCTCCCCGGTGCCCACCGCCCTCTTTCTGCAGACCTGGCCATGGGCATGGCCTGGCTCAGGCTGGGAGGCACCGACAGCACCGGCTGCTGCTAGATGGACCTTGTAGTGCCCCGGATGGGGGGAGCCTGCAAGAAATAGGCACAGAACTGCAGCATCCGGGATGCTCCGCTGAAAGGAAGAGGGGCAGGGAGCTGTGTGGCGGCTCGTATGGCCCCTGCTGCTTGAGCGCACGGTGGAGGGTGGGACCCCAAGGGAAGGAGAAACTGGCAGTGCCTTGTGGGGGGGAAGCAGTGTCCCTGCTGCACCCACCCAGTGCGCTCGCTACAGCCTGCCCTGTGCCTCCAGGCCCCACAGACATCCCTGAGTCGCTGAGCTACGAGGAGCTGGTGCGGAAGAACGTGGTACGTAGCCTCCTCCTGTGGGGTGGTGGTGGGGGGAGCCAGACTCCCACCCCAACCTGCCCATCGCCCCTTCTCCCCCCGCCCATCTTGCCACTGCGCTCAGTGGCCTGGGGCTCCCTGCTCGGGGCCAAGCAGGAAGAACTTGCAGGCAGACCTTAGCTCAACCCCACGTCCCACCAGCTGCGGCCCCAGCACGTTCCCTCAGTCCAAGCCAGGCAGAGGGGGCTGGGCTGTTCCCCGCCATGCTGATCCTGCCGCCTCTCTCCCAGGAGCTATTCATAGCCAACTCCCAGAAGTACGCGCAGGAGACCGTCCTGTCCCGGCGCATCTGCGACTGGGAGGACAAGATGGGACCGCTGCTGCAGGAGCAGGTGAGGCCCTTTCCCTGCCTGCCCAGGGGCAGAGAGCCAGGGAGGGTTGGGCCCTGCTCTGGCTCTAGAGCCCAGTCCTGATGGGGCCTGCTCTAGGCTGGTTCCCGTAGCCGGGCTGGATGCTGTAACCCTTGGGGCCCAGGGGCTGTAACCCTATGCCTAGGGGCCCCAGCCTGGTCCCCTGGGCATAGGGGTGACGCCCGCTTCTCCCTCGCAGGAGGACCGCGCCGTCTTTGACATCCACAGCTACGGGGACCGGCTGGCGTCGCGCTTTGAGCGCATGGGGGAATGGCGCTCCTTCGCCAGCCTGGTGGCTGGGCAGCCGGCCTTCGAAGTGTGTCGCTACATGCTGGCCTCGCTGCAGCTGGTGAGTGCTGGGGTGGGGCGTCTGCCCGTCCCAGGACCCCTGTGACTCAGGGCAGGTCAGCCGCTCTGCTCCCTGCCACAGCCACCTCATAGAAATCGTAGAGGAGTGACAGTCATGGGGCTGGCAGGGAGCTACAGGGTCGTGTCCAGTCCCAGCCCTGCCTGAAGCAGGATCAGCTCTGTCCAAAGAAGCCCAGACAAACCGCATGTCCGACCTCGGAGCCGCATGACACAGTCACCCGATAGCCCCAGACATCCCCCCCGCAGCTACCAACGTCCTGCTACGGGGGGCCGCAGCTACCAACGGCCTGCTGCTGCCAGGGGGGTCATAAGTGCTGCAGAGACCCCAGGCTGAGGCTGTGCCCCGTGACAGAGGAAGGCAAAACCCCCCAGTGCGACCAGTCTGAGCAGGGGGGAAATCCCTTTCTGCCCCAGTGCAGCATGGGGGCAGGGGCAAGACCCTCCAGCCAGGACGCTGCGGGGTTGGTGCCAGCATATGAGCATTGGCATGGCCCAGCCCCATCCCTATCCCCAGCCTAGGCTGCAGCAGCAGCATCCAGCACCCCTGGGGGAGGATTAACACCCCCCCCCGCCCTCACGTGGAGCAGGACAGGGTAGGGGGCCGCAAGTAGTACAGCCCAGAAGCCTGGGCCACCCCACAGCAGAGCACAGGCATCGCTATGCCTGGATCCTTCCCACTCCAGCCTTTCTGGGTGCTGGGGGTTGCTGATCCACCTGCCAGCACTGGTTTGCTTCAGTGTCAGGGAAATGGCGCTGGAAGACCCAGGCCTACGGGTGGTTGGACCGGTCTCCAACAGAAACTGTCCTGTGCAGGCCCTAGGTCCTCCCCACTCATTCATATCAGGGGGCTGATAAGGTCATAACTGCCATGCTTGGACCCAGGTTCCCCCCACAGCCTGGTACTGGGGATTTGACTTGGTGCCCCAAGAGCTGCAGCTGGTACTAAGACACCCTGACCCCTTCCCCCACACAGGCCAACGACTACACGGTGGAGGTGGCGCAGGAGCCTGGGCTGGAGGAAGCCGTGGACACCATGCGGTTGCGCCTGCTCACGCAAGAGCGGGCCCACGAGCGGTTCCACACCTACACAGCCCCATCTGTCTCCAGCACCTGATGGTCTCCCTGGGTGGCTACGGTCCTGCCCCCTGTACATAGTGAGCTCCTTGGACATCACTACTTCCCCCCTCAGCTGGGGGCCCTACCTTTACTCTCCACCCCCTTGTGCAATAAACTGGCTGTTTTGTACCAGCTGTCTCCATGCTTGTGGGCAGGGGCTGGCGGCTCATCCTCACAAAGCCCCATCCCTGTCACCCTGCACTATGCCCAGCTTCCCACCTTGTACCCCAGGCTCCTGGCTGGGATGGAGGCTGGGACTGCTGAACCCAGGCGAGGAGGAAGGGACTGGGCCTCTCCCCAGCCTGTAGCACCCCCACACTGAGGTCACTGCTGCCCCTGGGGCTGGGGCTGGCTCCAGCCCTGCCACAAAGCACGCAAGCCCATTTGCCACAAGTGGGCGAGGAAGGCCAGGCTGGGCTGACAGAGGTGGTGGTACCCTAGGCTGCAGGGCTGGGAGCACCGGGCATGAGACTCCAGCCGGCTCCTACTCTTGCTGGTATGCAGGCTGTGCCACAAGCCCATGTGTGAAAAGGAGGGAGGTAGAGCACGTGCCAGGGGCTGGCCGTGTCCACACTGAGGGCTTGGGGCCTGCTGTAGGGCCAGGAGCCAAGATGGAGACCAGGAGCAGAGGTCGGGACCAGGGGATTTATTAGTTGATGCGGCCGTAGGTCATCATGTGCCGCCGCACGCTCTGGGCGATCTGGGCCTCGCTCTTGCCACGGGTGTAGAAATCTAGGAAGAGCCCGTCGGGTGCCAGCAGGTAGATGAGCACCGTGTGGTCCACAATGTAGTCGCCATCCTCGTCGGGAGCCCCGGCGCTGGCATAGACGCGGTAGGCCTTTGCTGCCTCCTGCACGTGCTCAGGGCTGCCCGTCAGCCCCAGCAGGCGTGGGTGGAAGTCCCGCACGTACCGGGCCATGGCGGCCGGGTCGTCGCGGTTGGGGTCTACGGTGATGAAGATGGGCTGCACGGGCGGCAGGCTGGGGTCCTTCTCCAGCAGGTGCACGGTCCCGCTCAGCTTCTCCAGCTCCTCGGGGCAGATGTCAGGGCAGTGGGTGAAGCCGAAGTAGAGCAGCACCCACTGCCCGGCGAAGTCAGCCTTGCACCGTGGTTGCCCCGTGTGGTCCACCAGCTGGAAGTCGCCTTGGCCCACAACCACGCGCCGCAGCTGCTCCACCCGCTGCTGACAGCGCTCCAGCTCCTTCTCCTGGTACAGGGACAGGAATACGAGCAGCCCGCTGATCCCCAGCATCACCACCGCCAGCAGCCGCATCATGACCGGGTTCTTGTCCTCGGCTCCTGCCTCCCCAGACAGGGCTCGCGCAGGGCTGGCGAGGAGCTCCGGTGCCGGGAGCCTCAGGCTGGGCCAAGGGCAGGTGTGTGATGCAGGCCGCCGGGGGCCGATGCCCGGGGGGCGTCGGGGAGCAGATGCTGTGCTCCCTCGCCGCAGAGCAGGGCAGGCGCGCGCGGCCCCGCGCAGCAGCAGCAGCCGCAGGGTTGGCAGCATCCTGGGCTGGAAGACAAGGGAGCGCCGGGCTGGGCCCTGCCCGGGGCCACGGTGTGTGTGCGCGCGCGCGTGCGCTGGGGGGGGGCAGGGCCTTGGACTGATGCTCAACCTGCCCCCCACGCCCCTGTGGTGCTCCTCACTCCCTGCCTGCCCCCCATGTCCCTAGCCCCATGCAGCCCCTCGCTCCCCACCTGCCCCCCACGCCCCTGTGGTGCCCCTCACCCCCC